GTAGTGCTGGGTCTCTATTTCAAAAGCAAATATGTATTGAAATTTTTAAATTTCATATGTTGTATTTCATTCATAAAATGTTATATTTCTGTTTCAAATATCTTGCATAGTTTCCCCCAACTGCATCATATGCAAATGTATGGAACAAGGACCCCACTATAGATATTCTAGCCAACAACAGTATTGGGCACATAGCTAATGAGAATTGTCCAGGACATGTAATGGATTAGCTTTCGCTATAGCAATTTAGTACACAAGTGACTTAGTATTTAGATCACTGGGGATGGATGAATACAAACAACTTCATGCACTCGATTTTTTTCAGATCATTGAAATCCCAGAGCCTTCAGAGCTCTGTTGAAGTCTACTTTATGTAAGGATATGCATATTTACTTACCGCACGTTTATATAGTGTTTATTAAATAGCTATTGCTTGTCCATAGTTACTTGCTTAGCAACCTAAGTCCTCATATAAATGCATAATTCTTAAGGACAACTCACATCTCTATTTGTTAAAATTATCAGCAATGGAGTGATACATAGTAGCATGATATATTCTTGGCATGCTGCCAGTGGTGAATGAGTGATGCATCTCTGGATGACTAATGGCATTTCTTTACCCTCAGATTCACTAACTGTGGTTAATAATGAAGTAAGTTTATCTCTTCAGAGCTGTTTTCTTCAGAGCTCTGTTTCTTCAGAGCTCTTGAAGAAGCCAAAACATTAAGATTCCTTAGAATAAGCATCACCCGGGTATCACCTAATGAAATGCACACCTAATGAATTTCTTACCAACGAGTAATTCTGTTCCTGCACTGCATAGTCTACACAGAAAATGCCAGATGTCAATTTAGGGAGTGCAGTTAACTTCTCCCTGAGTTTTTCATGATGGTCCTTTGTTGGATTAATTCAGTTCTCCTCTCTTCTTTTCCTTTTCTAAATGACACAGGTTTTAATGGCCATTCATTTTAGGCAAAGTTGAAGAATAAATTTTAAGGAAATGAAAAAATAGTAATAACAATAATATACAAAGGAAACTTCTGTGTGAGAATTGTGCTCCATACCCAGGAGAACTCTGATTTTTGCAGGAGAATAATTACAGCTACCTTGATGATAAAGCAGAAAAGTCAACTCTTTGTCTTCTTGCTAATGTAAAACCCTAAATGTGGCTTTGTCTCCTGCTTTCTTTGTCCATTAACTTCATTTTTAAGCCTCTTTCTTATGTATTTGAACAGCAATCAAGAAAAATATCATTGTTGTCAAATATCTTGACCTTACATGTGACGTCTCTTTAAAATAAGTAATATAATGAAAAAAGTAAAACCCCAGTAACCTTTAGAACAGCTAAATAACTTTAGTAGTAATGACTAATGACCTTTTTGTCTTCACAAAAAATTCTTGCCATTTAAACACACATCTTGCATATGGAGTAAACCATATTGGTAGATGGCCAACCTTTCACACTAAATGAAAAAAAATATTTTCTTCATGCTGGGTGATGATAGTACATTTAAAGACCATAATTAATTCATTTCTTCCACTGGAATAATAACTTCTAGGAAAACATCACATATTTTAACAGATACTAAGAATAAAGAGAAAGATACACCTATGAAAAGTAATTTTGATGAGACTGATGTCCATTTATTTAAATAATTACACAGGATACCACATAGAGTAGCCTATGTTATAATATTGTTTTTTGAAAATGAAGTTTTCATATTCTAATATTGTTTTATTTTCCATTTTCCCCACGAAACAAAAATGAACATGATCTTGAATTACGCTTTATATTTCACATTAGCTAATAGGACTGGCATCGGGAAGCAGAGCCAAATGTACAATAACTGAAACAGTTTTCTGTTTGAGTATGTGTTTGCAAAACAAGCCCAGGCTAATGGAAGATCATTTATGGGAAGCTAAGCCATGCTGGGTGCTTATTAGATAACTTAGAAAAACTCTCTAGTTTGCTTTCCTCCAGCCCCCAGTTGGAGAGAGTTGTATGTGTTTCAATTAAAATCTCCACTTCCTTCCAGCTGGCAATGTTAGCATCCCTTCCACCAACAGAGAGCAAAGGTCACAGGCTCCTGCCTGAGCAGACTTAAAAACAATATATGCCATTTGCCTTTCTTGTGAAGATACCTTCTAGCCACCCATAGGGTGAAGATTCTGAAGGGTCAGGTTGCATGGGGACTTTCACCTTATTTACTGATAGTTTTGGTAACTGTTGGTCCAGATGCTGTAACGGCTGTTGCTTTGCGGATTGGGATTCAGCAGCAGCTGTTGTTCTTTGCTAGAGCGTGTTTCTGAAATTCAAAATTTAATAGTCTGAGACCCCAGTCATTGAAAACTATGCTGAAAGTTAATTTGCTGAATCCGAGTTTATTTTCCTACCGAAACCATAGTTGGTGATGGAGCCTTTCCCCTGTGACACACAATCAGATGAGGAAAGGACTTATTTCATGCCATTACTGGGCTCAAGAGGAGGAGAATGTAACGGTTACAGGGTGGGGTGTGGGTTCTGTCGCCTAGTGGTTTAACTGTTTTCAGATTATCGGAATTTCAAATCTAGGCCCTTGTGCTTTCCACTTCTATTGCTTTTAGCAACCTGAGGTTCCCTAATTAAGAAGAGACAGGTGTCGAACTCAATCCATTCTCCACCCTTTACCAAGTTATTTTTTTCTATGTCAGAAAAGCAAGTCAAGCTGGGCTCAGTGGCTCAGCCTGTAATCCTGCGCTTTGGGAGGCCGAGGTGAGTGAGTTGCCTAATTAGCCAGCCATGGTAGTGCACGGCTGTAGTTCTAGCTACTTGGAAGGCTGAGGCAGAAGGATCACCAGAGCCCAGCAGGTCGAGGCTGCAGTGGCCGGGAGCGGCCACTGCACTCTAGTCTGGGTGACAGAGTGAGACTCTACCTAAAAAGAAAAAAAAGAAAAGAAAAGAAAAGCAAGTCAAATTACCTTAGACTGAAGTATTCTAGGTGTTTCTGAAGTGAAATTTTCTGTAAATAGTGGGAAGCTGAGGCACCTCTGTCATCCCGTTGTGGGTTTTTCCATTCCCGGGACTCTATCTAGTTGGTAGATGAATTCTTATTTTTAAGTACTAAGCATGATTTTGCAAGTTAGTCTGTATTTTAGCATTCTCACTTGGACAAGATTACATATGATCCAACTAACCATGGAAAGGTATGGTAACCTTAAGCTTGACTGTCACACCAGGAGAGATCTAGTTATAGGTGCCACAAGTAAAACATGTGGGCGGGAAGGAGAAACAATAGTTGGAAAGAATAGTTACCAACAGAGGTTCAGCCAAACACTCTATACCCCTTCAAAGTTAATAGGAGTATCTACTGATAGAATTTCAGCACAGAGGGCGCAGGCACAAGTGATATCTGAAGCCACACAGAATCACAACTGGCCCTTGGGAAAAACCAGCCTGAAGTGCACAAGCAGGATCCTAGTTTAAGTGCGAGTCAGAACTCGCATCTAAAGCTTGACATATGTGATGCTATATTAAGATAAGATCTCAGAAACGAGAAACAATTCAGGGACCCAACTAGAACTGGTACTCAAGGTTCCAACTCAAATAGTAGCATGTATGGCATTTAAGACGGAAATTCTTGCTAATATCAAGAAAGAACTCTGTATCTGGGTTGTACCTGAAGACGGGAGTCTGGGAATCAAAATGAGACTGCTCCTGCAAGGAGAAATGTGGTTTGTCTATTCTTAGGAAATCATTAAAACCCAATTGCATGGATAGAGTTGAAAATTGCTAGAGTTGTATTCAAATGTGTAAAATATAGCTTAATATAAAAATGTAGTATATGTTTCATTAGATATTTCATACTTTAGCCCATGTTTTTAATACAAATTTTTGCTTTATACTTTGGCTCATGAAGTTCACGATAATGTCATTATTTAGATTAAGGATAAAATAGCTACAATTTGTAAAGAGTCTATAGACCCTTAAAAAATTATCCTTGATTTTACCAATATTTGATGTAGTTTTAAAATTTCTGGTAAGCAGTCATGTAAACCTATGAACTCAAATTTTGCTTTAAATACTAACAAATACTGTATGTATACAAATACGGAGTAGTCATGTATATAGGCAACTGGTAATGGTGTTTGATTTAAGAAACAAAAACATTTTTTGGAGCAGGCATGAGAGGAAAGATTTTTAAATATATATCCTTTATTACATTTTGAATATTTGATCATATATATGAATTGCTCATTAACAATGTTTCAAAGAATAAACAAATGCAGCTATGCTATAAAAAAATCCTAAGTCTCCAAATTTAGTTCTTTATGAGGTGCTAGAAGCAGATAGTGAAAGTCTTTTTCTTTTCTATATCCCACTTTCAATTTAAAAGTGACCACGTTCATGTCAAAACCAATGATAAAACACTTCTCATTTCAGTGAAATTTGGTTTCTTCCCTCTTCTGAGGAACACTTTTTACCTTCTATGAAGTGAATGACTTTGACATTTGGTTGCTGCCCTGTTTCTTTTCTAAGTATGTTTTGTCATATGAATTACTTCTAGGAAAAGGCCAATTCAGTGTTTAAAGATTTTGCATTCAAGATAAAGCAACTCAGAGTCATGTTTCAGGAACTGCCCTCTCCCCCAACCCTGTTATTAACCCCGTAAGTCTATTTCTTGATTCTCTGCTATTGCGTTTAGTGTTTTAAAATTTCCCAACCTATTCCTGTGGTGGTTCAGAATATAAACTTAGTTTTTCTTAACATGAAACCTAAGCTAGTCAAAAAGGGACAAACATTACCTCAGAATGTGGCATTTGTATCTGTTTACTTCCTTTTTTTCAACATTGTCAAAATGTTGGATTCATTGTTCCTTGCCTGTAAGTCTCTTCCTTATATTGAGGTATTTTCTCACAAATACCCTCAATTACATAGACCCTGAGAATGACTTCAATGCCTTTATCTTCCATTGATCTGTGTCTTCATTTTTCTGTTCTTTCTTCCTTTTTTCTGTTTTCAGTGGGGAGGAGCTACACTCAGTGTAACATTCTGCAATTTAAGACTTCAATGATAAACCTGCTCCACTCTGGCCGGCGTCAGTTCCTCTGCAATTTCGAAAATGAAAAGCATGCAGGGAAAACTCAGAAGGGAATTACAATGGGTACTGGCTGCTTATATGGCATCATTTTAAGGAGAAACTTCCTCCAGGATACAGGAATATATATTCTTTGAATTAACAAATGTAAACTTCTCAGTCAACTCTTTCCCTTTTCCAGTAATTGAGAGCCCTACATTTTGACAAGATTGGAAAAATACGGTAAACAGATACAAATGCTACATTCTGTGGTAAAGTTTGTCTTTTTTGACTAGCTTAGGTTTCGTGTTAAGAATTAGTATCTTCATTAGGGAGTATCTGTTCTCTTGATTCTTAAGGACATCACAACTCAAATGGGCTTTGAAAAGTATATTGCTATTTCTTTTTATCTAGGAACCTCAGAATCTTTAGAAATATAGACTCATTAAAAACACACCTGGTCAATGTAGTTGCTTCAATGAACTAAAAGAGAAGCAAATAAAAAATATATTGAGAGCAAATTACCTTCTGAAGATAGATGGCCTTATGGTTGACCTAGGATCATGAGCTGATAATAAGCAGCTTCTACCAAACCAGAAGGCAGTGCCATCTGCATTTAAGAGATTGGGAAAATAAGAAGGCAGAGATGTACTATAAAACTTCAACTTCTCCTTGTAAAAAGCATGTGGTAAGCCACTGATATCTGCAAAAGCAGTTACCACCTGGATATCATTCAGTAGCTTATGTGAGATATTTTGATGGTACTTGTTTTTTCAAGTTGTCTTCAAGCCAGCTGTTAATGAAACATATTGTATGTTAATATTTTCATATAAACTTAGTTTTTGTGATAAAGTCATCTCCATTAAAAGTGATACTACTCTGGCCGGGCTTGGTGGCTCAGTCCGTAATCCCAGCGCTTTGGGAGGCCGAGGTGAGTGGATTTCCTGAGCCCGCCGGTTCAAGATCCACCTGGGCAACTTGGTGAGACCTCATTTCTACAATAAATCAAAAAATTAGCCGGGCGTGGTAGCGCTCGCCTGTAGTTTCAGCTACTTGGAAGGCTGAGGCGGAAGGATCGCCGGAGCCCAGCAGGTGAGGCTGCAGTGGCCAGGAGCGGCCACTGCACTCCAGTCTGAGTGACAGAGTGAGACGCCAACTCAAAAAAAAAAAAGTGATACTACCCAATTGGTACACTTTTAGAAAGTATTTATTAATTCGACACATTCAGTAGCACTCTCCTTCCTATTACACATGCATGTTTAAGATGAATGTGTTAAAATGAATAATCTAGTTTTCATGTAGGAGACGGTCTTATTAACACAATTACAAAAACAATACAGCATGTGCTATCACAAGCAGTATTCTGAAAGCAAGAAAGATGGAGTAACTACCTTGTTTGGTTGAGTCAAAGGAATTCTTACCAGCCCTAACTGATACTCTTGAATTTTAGCTAAAGAATGGAAATTTACTAGATGTAGAACAAGTTAGTTATTTGAAGTAGAGTAAGAGGGATAAAAGGTACAATGTTTCTAAATACATTTTACCCTTATGACTACTGTTAGATATAAAGTAATCTAGTTAGATTATTGGTATGTTTAAAACTAAAGTAGAGACCGAGTGCGGTGGCTCATACCTATAATCCCAGCACTTTGTGAGGCTAAGGTGAGATTAGCTGAGCTCACGGATTCGAGACCAGTGAAGGCAACTTGATGAGACCTCATCTCTACAATAAATAAAGAAAAATTAGCTGGGCATAATGGCGCATGACTGTAGTTTCAGTTACTTGGAAGGCTGAGGCAGAAGGATTGCCTGAGCCCAGCAGATTGAGGCTGTGGTGCCACTGCACTCCAGCCTGGGTGACAGTGAGACTCTGATTCAAAAAAATAAAATAAATAAATAATAAAATGGAAAAGTTTGGACTAAATAAACCCTAAGATCTCTTTCAGTTCTAAATATTTCATGACTCTACACGGAATCATGAGCACTGAACTTCAGTGTTCAACTAAGAATGACCAATCTGATCCATTTTCACCATTGTTTCTTTAATTTGAGAGAAAACAATGGGGTCTGGTGATTGCAATTACATTTTTTTGCTTATTAAATATGTGTTCCATACCCTATCTGGAAAATTCTTGAGGAAATGTTAAATTCAAAGACATGACCTTCCTACACTTCTTTTAGATTACAGCTTTAATTCTAGCAGATTGCTTCTGAGATTAACTCCAAATAATAGTTAAATTCTACCTTACCTTATCTGTTGTTGGAAGAAAACTCTAATCTTGATTGGTCAGCAGTTATGTTATTTTAAAAACATAGAAATTCTACAGAAATTGGTGGCTCTGCTGGCTTGCCAGCTCAACATAATTGGATATTCTTATATCTAAAGAATAATAATCTATATTGCCAAAAGACTCGCTGCTCCTTTAGCAACCAATAAATGAAAGCTCACCAATATCAGGCCAGTTCATTGTTTTACCCTAAAGGAGTTAAAGGATAAGCTAGTTGATATTTAAAGAGAAACCAATAAAAAACACAAATTCCTTGAAAGTGCTTATATAGGCGGTACGTTTTAGTTTGTGGACATTAGGAGTCTAGAAATTTTCTATGGGCAAAGAAGACTTAACTGAGAAGATGAGTCCATTTGGGTGTGTCTTTCAAGATGCACCTTCTCAACTTTAAAGGGATTAAGAGATTCCCTCCAAAGACGGAGTAGTTGCCTCCATTTCCCATGTAATAGATCTTCCGTGTTTTTCATTCTTCTTTAAAATTATTCATTGTACCTTTTTGTAACCATTAGATTAATATTAAATTTTATTAACTAGGGAAGGGTAAGAAGTAGATCTCTTTCTTTATAATTATTGTGTTTGGGCATAGGCTTGGCCCAACAAAACTTTTGATTTCATTGGACCTAGCACAAGGCCAACATGATTCTGATGACTTGACAGTGATTCCAGTGAACTAGTGAGTAAATTCTTCCCTTGGAGATGTTGAATTCAAGAGCAGTTGTTGGAGGGAAAAGGACAGAATCTATGAGACTGTATGTTCTACATAAACACCAAGAAGTACAAAGGGAGGAATTTGTAAGAAAACTGGTGGAAGAAACCGTAGAAGTTAACGCAGTGAGTAAATTTTAAAAGATCAATAGTTGAGAACTGGGCTCTTCCTAGTATTAAAATCTAGCTCTGTGTGAGACCACTGGACATCCTTACAATGATTCTCTACAATTTAAGGTAACCTGAGACTGTCTCTATTTTGCATACTTAAAAAGAGCCACCCATCCATTTGCTACATGTCTTTAAAACATTGATTTCATTGGTATTTCTAAAAATGAATGGTTCTCTTCATTAACCATTATCACCGTGGACTGAAATCTGCTTGCTCTTATGTATCCTGGCCTTCCCCCCCCCCGCCCCGTTTTATCTGTGCATCCTAGCCTGCTTACTGGGATAAGTGCTGTTTATTGGGATTTGAGAGTTGCAAAGAAAAGCAAAGGACCTTATCTCAATCCTGCTGTTGCTGTTACTACCTCCATTCTTGATGTGCATTTACAGAACATGCTTTAGCATCTAGGTAGAGCCTAAAACAAGATATTTTTCAAAGATCCCAAAGTTAATTTGGTTGCAATATTTTACTTCCTTTATCTACATAGAATGGATTTGGGACCTACCATAATTATAGACATGGACACTATATAAAAGTCTTTATTGCTGAAGAAAAATATACTTATAATCAACTGTGGGATCCTTAATGAAATAGAATAGTAGTAAACAGTAATGAAAAGGGTTAACACAATGTATTATATTTCTTAATAGTAGAAAGAGCACCTGTTTGACTCATAAATCATTTAGCTTTGGCACTTACTCAGATGTGACTCCAAGAAGTCATTTTACTTTACTGAGGCTCAGTTTCCACATTTGTCATTTGGAGATAATAGTCATACAGATAAGTGAATTAATATATACTACATTAAACGGAATTTCAATCATCTTCTCCATTATTGATCTTAAAATTGACAAGAAAAGAGAGTGAATTTACAGGGAAAAAATACAAATCCATGTTATTAAATCTCTGCTATTCAAAGCAAGGTGAGCAAGAGTTGGCAATGGCCAGGAGCTAATTAACATGGCATGCCTCATGGTTGTAGGTCACTAGGATCTAGGAATTTGTTTCTCTGAGATGACTTATTGTCAAACCTTAGTGAAATTCTAAATTAAAGGCTAGCATTCAGTGCTTTGCTATCGCTGACTTAAAATTTAAATCATTAACATCAAGAGGAAGAGATAAAAATATTTTTATATATTATTACAATATTTATACACTTTTGAACATGATGATATGCTTCATAAATAACTTCAAGAAAATATGGAGTAATAAAAATACAAATTAGTTACAAGAAAAATTGCCCATGCAGAATTTGTGTGAAAATGAAGTCAAGTATCCCATCTAAGTCCCTCTATTTGAATTACCTTTACAATATAAAATATCTGTGTACTCAGTATATGAGAAGGACTTCCTGTGATATTAATCAAATGTATTATTACTTATTGTTAATCTCTTGTCTGTCTTGAGAAGATTTATTTCCTTAAACATACCATGTTATTTAATGTCACTGAATATGTTGATGGTGCTGTTCAAATGTCAAATAATTGCCAAAGTTCTAGGGAAAGCTAACTTTTCATGCATATTTAGGTTTCTAGTGCACTTCAACGCATCAAAAAAGGAAAATCTTGCCAATAAGCATATCCCATTGGACTAAGTCTTATTTGAATGAAGGACTGTCCAGTAGAATAGGAGATATAAAAATCTATAATTCTGTATTAATCTGTGACCTAACAAAGGTTGAATATATACACATGAATGCTGGCATTCTCCGTTGTGGTGGGTTGAATTACTCATATTATCATTATATCATCATTATCAGTACCTACAGGTGAGTACCTACTATACATTAAGTAAATCTCTGCTTGTTATCAATGCAGGAGATTATTCAGTATTACTGCATAGATGTTTTTGTATCATGCAGAATTACTATGTTGACTCACAAAATGCAATTCTAATGACTGTGCCATTTGGTGTTATATAAACAG